CCCCCGCGGCGCGCGTGGGGCCAGCCGTGGGTTCCCAGAGCAGGGCTGTGTCCTGCTGCCCAGCACTCACACCGAGCTGGCTCCTCGCCGCACAGAGGGAGGTCCCGGCCACCCCTACCTGCCTCTGTCCAGTCTCCTTTTCCTCACTGATCCCAGCTGTGACTCACCTCCCTTGGCACGTTCTGTAAAGGAAATTAGTTTCTCCGTTCTGCTCCCAAGGGCTTCCCAGCCCCTCCTGGGCAAAGACAACCATCTTCTGCAGTGGCCGCTGTCAGATCTGGTCCCTTGAACATCCTCTGGCTCTGGGCGGATCTGTTCCCCTTCCCACAGCTCCGTGGGTCAGAGCAGGTCCCTGTCTCTTCCCCTGCCTCGGGGGTTACTCTTAGAGCCCCAAGCCAGCCTGCTTCCTGCAGCATGGATCCTCTTCTGTTTCATATCGGCCTGGCTTAAAAAGACTCTTTTGCTTCCCTCCCCTCCCCTCCCATCCCTTCCCTTCCCTCTCCCCAGGCTCTCCTGGCCCACATGAAGGTGGAGTGCAAGTGCCACGGCGTGTCGGGCTCCTGCGAGGTGCGCACGTGCTGGAAAGTCATGCCTCCCTTCCGCCAGGTGGGCAACGTCCTCAAGGAAAAGTTTGAGGGGGCGACGGAGGTTCACCCCAAGCGAGTCGGTTCCCGCAAGCTCCTGGTGCCCAAGAACTCTCGCTTCAAGCCCTACACGGCTCACGACCTGGTCTACCTACTGGCCAGCCCGGATTTTTGCGACCGGGACCCCCAACGCGGGGTCTTCGGCACCTCCGGCCGCCAGTGCAACCGGACGTCGGAGGCGGGCTGCGAGCTCCTGTGCTGCGGCAGGGGCTTCCGCACGGCCCAGGCGGAGGTGGTGGAGCGGTGCGGCTGCAAGTTCCACTGGTGCTGCTCCGTCAAGTGCAAGCAGTGCCAGCGCCTGGTGGAGATGCACAGCTGCCGCTGACCGGGGAGCGCGCCGGGCCGGTGGGGGGCCACCGAGGGACTGCAAGGCAGCCGGGGAGAGGACAGCCCCGGGGGGAGACGTGGGGAAGCCGGGAAGGTGTCGGGGAGACACGCAGCCTCGGAGGGAGCGGAGGAGACTGGGGGGAGACTGGGGTTTGGGTGCCCTGGTGGAGAGCAGCCCCTGGTACTGGGGTGCCATCAGCATCTGGGTGGTCCCCTCCCCAGCACCCTCTCGGCAGCCTCGCTGGGCTTTTTGTGGCCCAACAAACCCTTAAACTTTAGAAATAAACCAGCTGCAACGGAAAGAGACGTGCGCACGTCAGCTCCTTCGGCGTTTGGGATCTGGAGGGTACCTGGCTCTGCTCCCTCCCGTGGGCTTGGAGGGGACGAGGCCACGAGTCCGCGTGCTCAGCGGCCGTATGGGCTGCAGTGAGCGAGAAGCAGCGGGGAGCGGAGCAGGGAGGAGTGGGGACCCACCTCGGACGTAAGAGGGGTCATGGAGGGGTCTAACGGTGGCAGCAGAGAGAAGGGAGCAAATCAGGCTGGTGAAGCAAACGGGCTCTTTATTCCCGTGGGCTTGGAGGGGACGAGGCCACGAGTCCGCGTGCTCAGCGGCCGTATGGGCTGCAGTGAGCGAGAAGCAGCGGGGAGCGGAGCAGGGAGGAGTGGGGACCCACCTCGGACGTAAGAGGGGTCATGGAGGGGTCTAACGGTGGCAGCAGAGAGAAGGGAGCAAATCAGGCTGGTGAAGCAAACGGGCTCTTTATACAGCAAAACGAGGGGTCACACAGGGGTGTAACAGAGCGGCGGCAGCGGAGAGAAGGGAGCAAATCAGGTTGGTGAAGCAAACGGGCTCTTTATACAGCAAAACTTATCCTTGGAAAAACTACTGGCTGCTATAGACCTACAGAGGGAGGGAGGAAAGAGATGGCTCTCTTGGGGATGGGGATGGAGATACTGGAGCGGGACACGGTGGCTTTAAACCTGGGTTCTGAGGGCTGATGACTTCTCTGATGCTCAGCTGCTCCTTTGGCTGGAAAAAGTGTTTTCAGGAGATGTTCCAGCAGGTGCCACAGTGAAATGCTGCTGAACGAGGCGCCTCTCATGATGTGCCACCGTCGACAGCGCAGAGCAGGAGCTCGGAGGTCTGGCCGTCATAAGCTTGCAGGCCAGCAAGGGGCCTGGGAAGAACTGCCCAAGTCTATCCAGGTGCTCTGTCCCACCATAGTCCTAGAGAGCCTGCTCCAGAGCCCTCTGCTTCCTGCACATCCCTCCGCTACAGTGCACTTGCTACCCCAGCCTCGGTGGTGCCGAGGAGTCTCTCTCGCCACTGCTGCCCCTCCTCCTCTCCCTCCTTCTCGCTCATCCCCCGGTACATCTTGCTTCCATGGCAGCCGCAGCGAGACACCTGCAAGGAGAACCTATGTTTGTAGGACGGACACCGCTGCCCACCCTTCCTCCAAGGAAAGAGGACCCCCATGATGGACAGCATCTGGAGGCTGGGATGATGGGGGCACCAAGGGGAAGAGGGGAGAACCAGGTGGGAAGAGGGAGGGAGAGGATAATAGCTGGACTGTGTGTTTCCTAAGACACGGGCTTGTCCTCTGTCCTGCTCCAGCATTTTCCTTGTTACCATCTAGGAAGCACCCAGTAGATGGGGGAGACCCTCTCCTGCAGGGATACAGAGGGATACCCCGATGGGTGGGAGTGATAACCCACAGCTCCCCTGTCTCAACATTAGTGGCTGTCTCCCCTGCCGTCTCTTGTGGGTGCATCGTGAGAGTGGGTGCAAATCCCACCGCCTCAATTACATGCCAGCTGCACTTGGGTCATTATTGCCACAATCCCCAAACACACCCAACCTGTCCTGCTGGAGGGAAAAGCAGTGGGCCAGTGGGTTCTGCAGGGGCTCAGGGCTGGCTGTGGAGGGACCAGCCATGGAGGAGAAGGTTGTGTAAAGGGCAGTGCCGGCTGTTTCTCACCCTCTGGTTGTAGAAGCTCTTCTGGAGACACTGGTGGCTCTTGAACGCGCAATAGCTGGGATGCTGAACTCCACTCGAGTCGCAGACCTGGGGAGATGGGAGAGTGAAGGCCAGAGAAAGAAAAGGAGAAAGAGGGATGGGAACATCCACTGGGAACCCACCTGGTTCGGGCCATCCCCATCCTGGAAGGCGGTGTACTCTGCTTTCAGCCAGAGGTTCACACGAGGGTCCTCACAGCCATAAGTAGCCATCTGGCTGCACCAGTAGTCCGACCTCCGCCCCCTGAAAACCTCCAAGCCGTAGTACTCCGAGCTCCCCGGGCAGCTGGTCTGCAAAGGGGTGGGATAAAGAGACCCGTAATTCTTCCTGCCCTTCCCCACCACCCAATCCAGGCTCCTCCTGCGAGGCCAGCAGGACACGCAGCGCGCTCGGTACCTTGTTGCCGGCAGCCTGGTGCTGGGCTGAGATCTGAGGGTTGATGTAGGCGGTGAAGCTGCCCGTCTCGCAGTGGACACGGTTCAGGTTTCTGACGTTCTGACACTGCTCCCGCTTCAGCGAGCAGAAAGCGCAGTCAGGGCACAGGTCCATGTGACGCCGGCCAAGGCTGTCGCACACCTAGGGTGGATGCAGCGGTGAGGTTGGGGGTGTCAAAAAGAAACCGAGGAGCTCCCGCATCCCTGGTTTGCATCCTGCCTCCCTGGTTACCCAGGTCAGCTTCTCCCAGGAGGTGGCACCTGAAAGCAGAGTGCTGACCAGCTCTGGCTACTGGAGCATCGCGGTCAGCACTGCAGGGAGCCCTGCACACAGTAGGGGTCAAAGATGGACATCAGCCTCTTTACCGACTCTCCGAACCCAAGGATTCTTTCTTCCATCTCCTTCCAGGCCCGGGTGACCTCCGACGAGAGACAGTGTCCCTCCACCACTGCGTAGCACAGGATCATCAGTGCCTCGTCGTTCTTCAGGGCTAAAAGGCTGGCAGAGAAAGGGATGGAGGAAGTCAAGTCTCACCTCTTGTCACAAGCTGAAGAGATAGACCTTTGGTTAAAAACTGAAAGAACGGAAAATCTCGCTCACAGAAAACAATAGTGAGCACTGGATTTTTTAAAAAGACGTTACGGTCCAACTCGTATCACAGTGCAGCAGAAGCTGGTCCGGCTCGCTTCTAGGCAAGTGACGACGTTCCTTCAACGCACCGTCCCGTTCTGCGCTGCGGACAGGCTGCAAATGGAATTCTCTGAGCACAGGCATGTGAAGAAATTGCTGTGGTGCCCACCCGCAGCACATCGACCAGCTCTGCTGAAAAACTGAGGGCAGCTGAGAACGTGGACATCTACCGACCGCACGTCTGTGCATCTCTCGGTGCAGTGCACCACAGGGAGACCAGCCTGGTCAGAGGTTTGTGGAGGGAAGGGCTGAGTTCAGAGAGGACAAAAGAATGCAGATGGAGGACAGCAGTGATGGATAACAACTCATCCAGGCAAAGATGGAAAGAATGAAAAACTATAAAAGAATGAAAAAATGAAAGACTGTAGCGGTCTTCCAGTACCTCAAGGGGGCCTACAAGAAAGATGGGGAGAGGCTGTTCAGGAGGGCCAGTTGTGATAGGACAAGGAGTAATGGTTTTAAAATAGAGGGAGGTAGATTCAGATTGGATATTAGGAAAAAATTTTTTACCATGAGAGTTGTAGAACACTGGAACAGGTTGCCCAGAGAGGTGGTGGATGCTCCATCCCTGGAGACGTTCAAGGCCAGGTTGGACGAGGCCCTGAGCAACCTGATCTAGTTGGAGATATCCCTGTTCCTTGCAGGGGGGTTGGACTAGATGACCTTTGAAGGTCCCTTCCAGCCCTAACCATTCTATGATTCTATGATTCTAAAACATGCCCGTAAAAAAGAGAAACAAAGCCCACCTATCCCTGCAGAGACCACTTCCAGAACCTTTAAGATCCTGTATGTCCACTCCTTCATCCCATGACTCTACATCACCCTTTTTATTTTCCTTTTTTTTTTTGTTTCCTCTGTAAACATTCAGACCATTTAGGATACCAAGAAGAACGGGCCATTTTAAATTTAGAGCAAAAAGTCTGCCCTCATCCCTCTTGAAAAATCTTAGAATCACAGAATGGTTTGGGTTGGAAGGGACCTTAAAGAGGACCTAGATCCAAACCCCCTCCCATCTTGTCCAAGGTTGTTCAGTTGAACCTTCTCAGCGTTTTTCCGTGACTGGGAACTGGACATTGCTGAGAAGAACCAGCAGCAGACCCCAAGGTCCGTCTGGCATTTCTCTTCCGTGAAGGATTGCTCTTTGTGAGGGGATTACCCAACCCTGACAATTTCTGTCCTAAGCCCAGGAGAACAAGTGTTCCATCCGCTTTGCTGACACATCCGTGCCAGCCGAGGGGCGTCCCTGCCACCACTCAGATGCTTGACTGCTTGAACACAGTTGGATCTTCACCTTCAAGGTCTGGTGAACTGGCTTGGGTCATCTTGATGGGACTTCGAAATTTCAATGAACAACCTGATATTATTCTCCAAACTTTTCCGAGATAATTTATCCACCGATACGTCATTGCTGGCTATTGTTCCACTACTTGCTTGTTATTCCAGTTGGCACATTGTGATTTGATTGCTTCTTCATGGCACCAGGATGACCGAGCCAGGAAAGTGAGAGGCACATTAACAGCCATTAAAAAGGACATGAATGGCTCTGGTGTTTTCATCACCAAGGTAGAAAAACCAGGAAAACTGTCCAGCTTGCTGTACTTTAAAAAGAGCAAATAAATAACAACCTGAGCTTAGAAAGCAACTGCTAATAAATGGATTTAACAGCCTTGGCTTTCTCCAACGCACGTACTGGTCCGACAAGCGCAGCCCTAAGAAGATGCAAATAGAGGATGGTGGGCGAAAGGGGCAGTAAAAGGGAGCTCAGCTCCAGGCTTTTCCAAAAGGAGTGCTTCCACAAGCAGTTCCTAAGTAGCAATAAAGCACCTGCTGAGTGCTGATGACCTACTTGTTCAGAACGGACGCAGTCAGAGGCGAGTGGGAGCCCCTGCTGCACAGCAAACCTTGGATTCATGGACCGTATCCGGTATGATCAGCCCACATGATCAGAAAGCCTCGCGTCCCCGCGCACCACCGACCCAGCTTTGCTGCTGGCCACGTGTGCTGTGAGCGTAGCATGGGAGCTGTGTCCCTAACATCCACTCACCCACCCAGGAAACTGAGTCATGCCATCAGCCTGAGGTTACTGAGATGCTCTGTTGCTCTCTCTGTCACATCCATTTCCTCCTCTATCTCTCTTCTTCATCTCTGCTGCTGAGAGAGGCTTTCTGGCCTCATGGTTGCAAATTTATGAGTTTGTTTATCACATCTGGGTGAGTGAGATACATCTACATCACCCCCAGGTGACAGTTAGTTCCTGCGAGCAGCCGAGAAGTGTCAGAGGAACGGGTCCCACCGTGCATCACCAGACCCAAGGATGGCTCCTGGGCTCCCCTCTCTCTTGCCAGCACCTGCAACCCACCATGCTGTGGTTCCAGCTGCCTCTTGGGGCTGTCCCTGTTCCTCTCCTGACGATGCCCATCACCCTGGCACTGCTCTTGAGTGCATGCAGCCACTCTCCTGCTGCTGCTGCCTTAGGGCAGCGCCGGGGCTTTGTGTCCCATCACAGAGGTGTGGATCCTACAGAGTATAACAGCACTGCTGCTGGTCCCCTGCGCTCGTTGACACGCCGCTGAGCTGTTTTGGGACGTGCAGAAGTTTCACCATGCGTCAGGGAAAGTGATAGGACTGTCTAAAGCGATTTCCTGCTGCAAATCCCTCGCCAGCTTAATACCTCTGACACTAATGTCCTAACCCCTGCCTTGGAAAAAGCCTAACAGGTACTGGGAGGCAACGTTTCCAAGTGAATGCAAAAAAAATATATAATTAAGAAGACTCAGTGGGCCAAGATCAGTAATTGCTCAAAGGCAAAAGGAGAAAACTTCAGATAAAAGCCTATCTTGCTTGAGCATCTCCAGCCACGGAGCGACGCGCGTAGAGCCTAGTTCAGCGATATCTCTGCAGAGTGCTGGCTAACACCATCTCCCTCGGTGGAATGACAAGGATTTGGGCCATTAACTTTTGGCTGCAGAACCTTCCTGGTATTGGCTGGCTCTGTGAGGTGCAGTGAACACCTGAGGCAAGCAGAAAAGAAGAGAAGGAGCAAACAGCAGCTTTCCAGCACTTTGCAACTTCTGATCGAGGCAGTTTGCCGCAGGAAACTAAAACCTCTAAGGAAAAGGCTGTTCTTAACAGCTTCAGAAAGAAAAAGAGATCTCAGACTGCATGCCAAGAAGGCAGGCAGGCTGGCTGGGTACCGGCCCGACCAAACCCAGCAGGTAACCCAGCGCAGGAGCTGTTGGGAGAACGGGAATGTGACACCTGCCCGAGGGCTCGAGGGGCACTAACGGTGGGAAAAGCTGTATTTTGTAAATATACCTCTTCTGCCCACCTGCAGGATATTGCAGCCCTTTACCTCTGCCCTCCTGGGACACTGGGAGACCCCTGCTTTGAGCATCCAAAAAGCCTGGGAGCGTTTGAACTTCTAGCCTGGTGGCAAGAAGACAACCTGCCTTGGCCCGATTCCCCTTCCACAGCCAGCCGCGCGCAGCAGTGATACGGAGACACGAAATCGGGCCCTGGCCTCACTGAATGTCCAAAAAATACCTCTACATAATCCTCAAGTGCCAGCTAGTTCCTCAAAGCAGCTAAGAAATGTCAGGGAACGGGTCCCATCCTGCACCACCAGACCCAGGGTAAAAAAGGTAACTGTGAAACAAGTGATGATGATAATTCAAAAAGAGTTTTTTTTTTTTCCCCAGGAATGGCATTTTTAATGATGGGTTTGGCCTTAAAATTCAAGCCACCGGGGATGAAGTCTGTGAGCACCACAAGGATTGTTTGGAGGGGTGAAGCAGGAGGAGGAGGAGGAGGGTGCAGCTGCTGGGAGGGCTCAGCTCAGCCTTGCTGGGGAAGCTGGGCTCACGTGAACCACGTGCGTGAATACCAGCAGGATGAGATCTGTATCCAGGACATCCACAACACTGGAAGGAGTGTAGGGGTCGCAGCGGGCAAACAACGCGCCAGCGGGAAGCCCTGGGAAAAAGGGCGAATGGAATTCTGGTTCGCAAACAGGGAAGGGAAGGGAGGTTGACCTCCTTCTGCGCATCCGAGTGCCGAACCCCACGGCTGGACGGTGCACGCGGCGCCGGAGCGCGTGGATGTTTATAGGGACACTGGAAATTGCCACGGAAAATGAGAGGGGCTTTATAAGGTGAGAGCTACGGAGCTCTTTTCGGGGCATTGCAAGACTGAATCACGGTACGCAGGTACCTTCGAGAAGAGGAAATGTTAGGAAATAAAAAGCTCTTTAATCGCGGGGCAGAAAGCACAATGAGGACTTAAAATTGAAAATAAGTGCAATAAGAGACATTTTTCTGCCCTCCCGTCACGATTCACTGCTAGAAGAAAGCTGACGAAAGCTGCTAATTCTTCACCGCGTCCCTCTCTCTAAAGGTCACAGCCAGCGTCGTCAGGTACCATGAAAGCTGGTAGAGCCACCAGAACAGCTGCCACGAGCCTGGGTAGGCGAGAAGAGATGGACATCAGACCCCAGGGAAGATGCCCAGCCCTGGGTTGGGTGCCCGGCACAACCACACGCACCTTGTGCCAAACCAGACGCCGACCGGCGCCCGCGCGTGCCGACTGGTCCCACACGGCACCTCTCCTCTTGCTGGAATGGGAATGCCTCAAAGCATTTTGCCCCTTTTTTAGGTCGTGCTTTGAAGTCCCTTTGCGAGGAGGCGGGATCGCAAAGCCGACGGGCGCAGTCGCTCTCGCCTTTTTATCTTTTTTATCCTTTTTATCCTTTTTATCCTTTTTATCCCAAGCTTTGCTTGGCGCGATTGACGGGGCTCGGCTGCCAGGCTGCA